GGTCGATTGCTCAACGAAACACTTCCACCCTGTAGCGATCCACTGGATCATCAATTCTTTCATCGAGAGAATCATCCCTTTGGAGTTCACCAGGCATTCGTCTCTTTCTTGATATTCTCATCTTCCTGAATTTCCCTTCTATTGCAAAATCAGTTTCTTCGTCATCATGGAACATTTGATTCGCTGCCTCAATGAAATATCTTGTTGTTTTCATGATGTTTTCGAAGTCCAGATGTTTTAAAACTTCTTTCGCTTTTTCTACCATATTCCAGGCACTAAGATAATCTAAGCCTTCAGTTTGCAGATATTCCGAGGCCGATCTCAGGGTACTGTACACCCGCAATAACAAGAAACTTGTTAAATGAGTGTCAAAGATACGTCATTTACCAGGAAGTGCATTGGCCTCAAAAGTAACTTTCACATCAAATTTGGGAGATTCAACAATCTGAAGAGAGACAGCAATCAATAGGTGAAACAACTCAGGCTGTGGTGAGTCTAAACTTTCGAAGATATGTTCAAGGGCCGCGTTTTTAGCCCACCAACGGGTTTCTCCAATCTTCTGCAAACGTTTCAGTTCCGCTGATCCAACCATCTTCTCTGAAGCAACTTCTGTCTAGACGTTAATTCTCTTACATGATTCCGAAAAAGTGTCACTGTAGTAGTTCGATCAAGTTTTTGACCAGCAGAATATTTTGGACCAGATTTGTTGATGCCAAATTAAGAATATGAGCATAGCACCAAATGTATACGGATTGTGGGGCTTCATCTCTTATATTCTTCACCACACCACTGTATTCACCTCTCATGTTAGCAGCTCCATCAAATGACGCACCTATGATGTTCTCCACTTTTAATCCACTATATTCCGGCATAGCCTTCATTTGTTGGTATAATCCATATCCAGTAGCATCTGTAACCTTGTTTAGAGCAAAGAAACGTTCTTTTACTTCATCCAACAAAACATAACGCAAAATTATGGATTCCTGACCAATCACTGCTGTGTCTTGAGTACTATCCATTTGCACAGAATATTTCTAATTCCCAATTTCATTAGCAATGCGTGACTTCATAATGTTCTTTTTTTTTCCATTATTTCCAAAGTGATGGTCCATTTCCCGGTATCCTGGTGGGCCAGTCCGCCACTGGTGGGTATCTTAGGTGGTTTGACAAACAAATTAATTGGGAATGAGGAAATTATTTTCTCCAAAAAGTACATAGGGTAGCCATTTCAAAAGAGAATATGTGGTATGGAAGTAATTTCTTTGTGAAGGACAAATAGAATGAGGTAAGTTTGTATGCTCTATTTAGTAGACAGAGAATAAGATTTCTTTTAAAGAGAAAGATTAAAACTGTCAAACTGAGTGAAAAGGCCAGTAAATGTGTTTTTATGAAAGACGGCAGTTGAAAAGTCGTTAGCATCATGGTTAACAAAAACATCCAGAAAGGGAATAGAGTTATTAGTCTCAATTTCATGAGTGAAGTGTATAGAGGGGTGTTGTGAATTGAAATAGTCAAGAAAGCGTTGGATATGATCAATATTGCGGAAAATGAGGAAAGTGTCATCAATATACCTTCTGTAGAGAACAGGTTAAAAGTTTAACGGACATTTGTCAATCCAGTTCTGTTCGTGGTGACAGAAAAAAGTTTTGGTCAGCGTAGGACCCAGTGGGGAGCCCATAGCAACGCCGTCTATTTGCTCATATAGAGTATTGTTAAAGAGGAGAAGAAAGTCTTTGGTCAAGAGTTCAAGCATAGATTTAGAAATCCATTTACAAGAATGTTTTTAGTGAAGAGAATAGAAAGTGCATTATTAATTGTTTCGTCCAGGGGAATATTAGTAAAAAGAGAAGTAATATTGAAGCTAGCCATCAAGTGATCTTTAAGGGGAGGTGGGGAGTTGACTGATTTCTCGGGAAAATTGGAAGGAGTCAGGTGTTGTAAGTTCGTTCATAGAAAAAGGTTTTAAGATGGGTACAATGAATTTAGCTACATTATAACTGTGAGTGCCTAAGGCTGAAAGTATAGGTCGGAGGGGGTGTCTGGTTTGGGAACTTTTGGCAGACCATATAATATTTCAGGTTGGGAGCCTGTGGGATATAAATTATTGTAAACACAATCAGAAATAATATTTCTTTTGCTTAGGTTTCTAAGAAATCTCTGGCTTTTCCCTTCAAATTGTAAAGTATGGGTTAATGGTTCCTTGTTTATAAGTTTGAACTTGTTGCGGTCGTCAAGGATATTAAGCATTTTTTTAACATAGTCAACTTTGCTGAGGATAACTACTCCGTTTCCTTTGTCTGGTCGGGTGATGATGATATTTTTGTTTTGGGAGAGTTCTTTGATAGCTGCCAGTTCTTAAGATTTGAGGATATCCTGCATGTGTTATAGTTATAGAAGGTGGAAAGTGCTAAGTTTTAACTTAGTAGTAAATAGTTCTCGTGTTTGTTCAGAAGTATTCTTGGAAAAAATAAGTAAATATTTTATATTCCGGTACAAGGATTCCCAGGGATAGAGGTAATTGGCATAATTGAGTTTTGAGGAGGGTATGGAGAAGTTCTATGCTTTGGCAAGTAGGGTTTTTTGATTATCACTTAAAGTGATGTTGCTGTAGTTGAAGATGACTTGGTCAGGGGAGATATTTTTGTGAGTTATGTTGTTAGAAAGTTTCCTTAGTTTAACATTCTGTATGTGTTCGTGTCTGGCAATTTTCTTCTCATTACTTCGGTTGATAAGATGCAAAAAGTGGTTGAAGTCCAGCCAGAATGTAAAGTTGGAAAGTGACATTAGAGATGAATTCAGCTTAGATGAGAGATGATATCTGTGTCGGTGTTTCTATCTAAGTTCTTCAGTAAGTAAGAGCTTTTGGCAATTGCGGTATGCTATTGAGTTTTGAAGGTTTCTATTAGCGAGTCTGAAATCACGAAACGTCGGAGTTAATGACCGAGTTTTGCATTCTGTTAAAAACTGGATGTCAAGATTTATCTCTTTTTGTTTTGTAATCCAATTTTTCAATAGTCCTGTAGGTTTGAGACAATCATTTCAGTATCGTCTTAGAAGTATAGCAGTAATCGACTCATTTTTCGGAAAACTTAGCTTAATGATAAAACAAAACACGAATGTAATAACAGGAAGCATTTATTAGACGTTTCGGAATCGTCATAATTCTATCATCAGTAATCTACGGTTACAAACAAACAATATTTGTAATTACAACAGAAATATATACATATAAAAGAATAAGCAAATCGAATATACAAATATAACACGAGAAAATGAAAACTGGGGCACAAGTGAAATAGTTAAAAAGGTTTAAATCCAGTGAAGACTGTGTGTTATTTAGGGACGGGAGAAGAGTTTGCTTTTAAATATTTCAACTTGATCAAGTCAAAATATTGTCTACACTATACTACAAGAAGCAACAAGTAAAACCGTGTTGTTAGAATCACCAGAAAAAACTTGTGTTCTCTCTAGCCATAGTTGAGCCTTTGTTACTTTTATCTCTACCATGAAATTTTACATCCTACCAAAAATTTTCACATCAAAATTGAAACGTTCTCTCACTAGTATTAGTGAAAGTAACAGATACATTGTATTTTCCAATAATACTTTCCATGTCATTTATCACAGTTAATCCATACTCATCAATTCTAACATCAAGGTTAAACCCCTGCTTGATTATTGTGCTTTTCAGTGTAAAAACAATTATCTCATAGCTCTTAAATCTGACATACTTTCCAGGTAGAGGATAGATACGAAAACCTTGTGAGTAGAGGGTGGCATGCCCTGTAGAGTTCTTACTACTCAACCATATTATGTAACATAGATGTACAGAAATATATTAAAGTGTACAAGTGTTCAAGTTTATAGAAATGTTAAAGGATTAAGTAAAGTAATCTATTATCGTTACGTGGACTGGACGTTAAATTGATTTCACCAAATAACTTAAAAGAACTCGCCAAAGAACTACACCACAACAATGGTGTCAAAAAAGGGTGTATTATTGTGGTGAAAATATAATAGAACTTTGAATATACTTGACATAGAAATCAATTTACTTGTACTAATTAGCTGCGATAGCTAACATATTGACATCATTCTCTGACTAACCTAGCGACGTTTCATGAAACATCTTGTTTTTGACACACATTTGAATGTACCATGCAAAGAAAGCTTGATGCCACAACCTTCAACGAATAGTCCTTGCTTCTTCTGTTTAGTTTTCCTTTGCTGGAGAACTGAAGACTGCAATACCAAACACGAATGGTCTCGTTGTAGAAAAACTATGAGAGAATTGGATAAGGAAAGGGTGCCTGAATTCAGAAAATTAAACTTGTTCTTTTGTCCTGTGGACAGCGTCGCTTCGTGACCTCTGTTCCCTGACAGCGTTGGTTGGCCATTAGTTTCATTTGACGTCGTAATCGGCCAGCAAAGGATATTCTATTTTAAAACAAGCATATTATACAGCACTGAAATATCCATGTTACTATAAAAGGTAATATACTGTGGTATGCCTGCATACTACATTTGTAACATACTCCGTTTTGGGCCGGGATAAATGTACCTGTCAACTTAGTGGCTCGACGCTTGTTAACTTTCCAAATATCACAGCTACAAATCCCAAATGCACTATTTGAAGAGCGTTTCGGCGTTGTACCATATTCAGTGTTTGTAAGAAAAATTGGTTTTGAGTTGTGGATAAACACACCTGAATGTAATTAAGGAGGAGTAGAAACCTATTATTATATAATATCGACACACCGTTAATTAACTTTCAGATATCCCAGCTACATATTCAAAATCTACTCTTTTCTGATTGTTTTGTAAACAAGTTTTATTTTTGGATTGTAGAAAAAGTTCTTATTTGATGTGGATCCCTACTTCTATTGATACTGAGTTTTGAGTCAGAACAATAAAAAAATTACATTTTTAAATGATAACTTGAAGCGCGAACACGAATAAGAGCTTAAGAATCTAAGTTTAACCTCGTGTTCTGTAACCACATATACTCTCGGAAAAGAACCTTTTATATTATGTATCTTTAGCGGATGTAGAAAGCAAAAGAGCGAAATCTAAATTATTACGCATGACAGAAAGACAATAATGTGATTAATAAGTTATATTTAACAGGGGTTTTATTCTATCGTGCATTGAATTAATAATGTTAGGTCGCCTAAATTTTCATTACGAAATTGAACTTGCAACTCAAATTCAGTAGTAATACTACTACTATCGTTACTACTACTATAAATTGTAATTAAATTTAATGAGGTAGGTGTAGTAAGGTGTTTTTTCACATTTCAAAATACTACTCATTAGAGTAGTATATTAATATTTTCGGCCAAAGTAATATCTTCACATACTTATCCATAATCAGTAACTGGTGAAGTCATTTTTGACTTTGTAAAATACAGAAGATTCTTCACTGGATGTTGTAGTTTTTATTTTGCATAATAAATAAAACTTAGATGAGTTAAGTCTGTATCATATTCCTCATATTAGGTATATAATTTGTTTACTACTTAGCCACAAGTGGTTTTCTCTATACTCAGCTGATTTTCAGTGGGAACCTGTAATCCTTGCAACCTTTTACTTTTTGATATGTCATTTCTGCTGTTGCATATATGTTTAAAAGTTTCTAATTTTCCAGGTACTTTTTTTTTTTTTTCACTGAAACTTGAACGTAGACTTCGAAATTAAACAATTTTCGGAATACTAAGTTTATTTATTATTTTACCAGAAAGTTTTTCCTTTTAACATTATTGGACATTTTTTGTGATGCTTCTAGTTCTACAGAACAAGATGTAACAAATGTGAATTTTTATATTGATCAGTTGCTACATGTGTTTTATTCAAACTGTAAAGTCATGCGACCAGTTGTAAATTCATTAGTGCTTGGGTGTAACTTATAGAAGTTATTTTTGAGAATATGAACAAAGTATCTCAATGTGTCACTTTTGTCACATCATGTCCAATGTCTCAGTGGTAGAAATTTTTGAAAGTAATTAACTAAAAGCCATAAAACCATATAGTTCACTTCCTTTTCCATTTCAAGTGTTTCAGAAGTCGGTGCCCTTCTTTGAACTAGATTATAATTAATAATTAAAATGTTTTAGTTTTTGCAATTAAAAATAGATTGAGAGACGCTTCCTTCCAATAACTATGTGTATGGACTCGTTACTTTTGGTGAATGTAATTCTGTTTATTTCTAAGTTTGTGATTTATATGTGTGTGTATTGATAGGGTTGATACATAAATATATATATATATATATAATATGTGTGTATTTAATATGACCCTCTTATTAAAAGCAGTCAAATTTCAATTCCTGCATACAATCTTATATATTGAACTTATGCTGTCTTTTATTTTCCATTCATTTCATCAAATATAATTGCCTAACTTGCAGACATATTCTAACTTGCCAACTCATAAATCTATGTCCCCTGTCCCACCATTTTTTAATTTAAACAAAAAATTATGATTCATTAATCTTATTTATTCCCATTATAATTTTGAACACTTCATTCAGATCCCCTGTAACCTTTCTTTTTTTAAGAGAAAATTTTGTAAGGACCTTAATTTGTCATCTAATGACAGCTCTTTTATCCCAGGAAACATCCTCATAGCACAGGCTTCAACAAATTCTGGGTGTCAGATCACCATGGCAACTATTAAATAGAACTTGATTGTAGAACAGTTCTGGACTCTTGGAATTTCAGAACTATATTCATGCTCTTTAAGTCCTAAATTGAACTTTGTTTCTAGGATTTTAATGGTGGATTCAGCACCTCATATTTGTTGCAATTTTGTTGTTTTTTTTCTCTCAATTCAACCAATCAGTATGCCTGCTTAGACTCAGATGGGACCAGAGCCAGTTAGTTCAGGCAATACTCTCAAGTGGTTGTTGCTTTCACATGATCGTTAGCATGCACTCGTTGCTGTGAAAGTAAATAAATATACAGTAGCCCCCATTTCTTTGTACAAACAGTAGCAAAGTTAGGTTAGGCCACCTTGCTCCTGAGTTTTTGGGCTGACTCCTAGATCTGAAAATATTTGTTGAGGCCTGTTATAGCCCATTTTTGAACTCTTTCCAATAATTCAACATCATTCATAAAGTAAGTATCCTAAAACTGAATACAGCACTTTAAATGTAGTACAATATACAGCATTTAAAGACAATAAGGGAGCTGTTGGTCCACTGAGGCTGTCCCATCCACTTAAAAAACTCAAAGCCAGCCCTGAGCATTTAAATGTTTTTCAAGACTTCTCTTAAACTTTTTAAACTTACTGCACTCACCACGTGTGAAGGCAATCTGAGATCCAATTGGTATCATATAGAGTGAATGATGACCCTTTATACTGAATATTTTTATATATACAACACTAATACAATATTTAATATTATGATGTATTGTTGTCAAAGGACTATTTGATCTTTCAAGGCTGTCTTTATACTTTCATCCATAAGAAAGTCAAAATTAAACTCACATGATCCTTTATCTTTCAAGGAATCATTGACTCCTCTCGTAAGTTCTTGTAAGATGTTGGCTTCTGACACTGCAGACAACAACTTGTTCATAAACAGCTCACCCTGGTATAATAATCACTTTATTCATGTTCTTTGTCCTCTTACAAATTCTTGAGAGTGAATATTCATTAAGGATGTGTGTTCAGATATGGAGGGGTCACAGTGTGCAATTAAATCTCTTAAGTTGCTGAAAATAAAAAAATGTCACTAACTAAAGCTTTATTTTATTTTCAGGTATCTATTTTCTAACCTAAGAAAAGCAAATAAGAGAAAGAAATAACAACTTGTACTGCTGACAGATATGGCAGGACAAAACTTAGGCCCTTCACCTAATTGGTACTCCAGTAAAGTTAGTGACTGTAACAAAAATGGGATTTTTGCTTATGGGTCTCGAGGAAATATTGTTCTTATGGATGTTACTTTATCTCCTCCAGTTTATATAGAAATGTTTTCTGCTCATGCAGATAGAGTATCTGCTGTTTCATTTTGTCGAAATATGAAGAAGGTCAGCTGGTTAGTTTCTTGTGCTGATGACAAGAAAGTCAAGATTTTTGATACAGCAAACCGCATGTTGCTCTATGAACAAGTGACACATCAGGTCAGATATATTTAGAAATATTTTATATGCTGAAATAAAATGTTTAGAAATCTAAAAATATTTTTTTATGTTCATATATGTATTGAAAAATTATGATTGTAATATACTTTTCTTATATGCATCAAGCAATTTAGAATTAAGAGACTGAACATTTCCAAGAAATAGATTCAATTAACTGTACGGGTGATTTACATTAACATTTTCAAACATACTTTTGTGTAGCCATCTTAATTTGTTTCACAAGTCAAAGACCAAGTATTTTTTATTAAACATAAATCCTGAATTAAAAGAGAAAAGTGAGTAAATATAAGAAAAATAAACTAACAAAAGGCCATCTGGACCATTAGTGTCATCCAACAAAGAATACATTGTAATCTAAATATAACTATTTATTCTTTAAAGTATTGAATAAACACTTGGCACACACCACATCCTGTGGTAAACCACAGGTGAATAACTAGCAGGGAAAATATTTTACCTGATAACAGCCTTGGCCTGGGAATCCAAAGCTTATACTTATTTCCTCTGTTATTTAGGATTTTATTCTAACTTTAACCTTCCATGTCTATAACCAACCTCCCATGGGCAGTTTATCCAATTCCTTAACAATTTTGGATACCCAAATCAGGTCATTTCTAATTCTTCTACATTCCCAGGAAAAAAAAAAGTTAGATCTTTGATTATGTCTTCTTGTTACTAACCAGGAACTGTTTGATGCTTTATCTGAAACTGTTTCAACCAAAGTTTTTTTTCTTTTATAGTAAGGGGACTAAAATTAAACACAATACTCTGAGACTTTACCAAAAGTTGTACAATTACAACGTGATGATAACTTCCTTACTTCTGAGATCAAACTTTCTGTAAATAGAACTCAGAACCTTATTTGCTCTCTTCACCACTTCCAAACATTCAGCTAAAGGCTTAATGACTTTATTAGTCATCTCACTCAAAACCTCCTTATCATGTATATAGTGATAAATATTTAAATAACTCATTCCTCAGTTAAAAATGTAACAGTTGAAAACTGTAAGATTTTAGTTGCCATAATTGGAAAGAAAAATATATCTTTGTGAATTAGGAATATTTTTTAAATGATTTCAATACATACACTTTTATAAGTCCATTTAAGTCGGTACTCTTTTAAAAACTTTAATCTCTTTGCCAGTTAATTCTTACTTTCTCATTTGTTAACACTATGTAAAAAAAATACACTCAGTACTTATGAAGATGCTAAGAATACTGCAGTGCCATCTTGAGGTGTAAAAGGAGTTGATGTTCTCACTAATTCTTATTGACCAATTGGATATGTTTTACTGATTATGGCTGAATGAATGATTGAATAATCTATGCTAGCTCAACACCAGCCTTTATAGTGTCAAAGGGTACCATGGCATTGGGGTGAGCTTGGAATACAGACACTGAGCATGTTTACTTGGTGCAATTGGTGGTACCAGAAACTTAGCTTTGATTTTACTCAGGTTTCTATAGTGCTAAATGTTTAACTGAATAAATAATCACACTTGAAGAAATTAATGATGTACATTTAACTTCACATTTTTAAATTTCTGCTTTTCACAGCTGTTTGTCTGCAAACTACATCCTTGGCCAATTAGAGGTGTAGTTTCACTTGGTGTTGACAATCAGTGACATTATACTGATGATATAATCATGACTTTTGTAAGCAATTTACAATCTTGTTCTCTGTAAATTTTGCCCAGGTTCCAATTAACAACATAACCAAACTAGACTAAGTAACCAACATTTTAATTTTACATGAATAACAATTAATCTATTCATAGGTGTAGTTAACTTGTTCAATTTCACTTGGCCTAGTTAAAGAAGTTCATGTTCACTGCCTTCACTCTGTCATACAATACATGTTGATATAGAAGAAGTTTTATAAATTTTTCTTACTTTAATGTTCAGGTTATTTCATTCATTAATTTTACTACTGTAATGTTTATTTATTGTGGGATACTACATTGGGACTTTGGTGAGACTTAATAGTTTCTTTGGTTGAATGAAAACATTTCCTCAGCTACACTAGCCAGTAAAGGTATCATCAGTCAATAAGAAGCCTACTAGCTTGTTTAGTGTGACATTTTAAGTTTTGGATGAAAGCATGTCAACACTTGTGTTAAGGAAATGATTTTCTTTTGATACCATTGTCTCTATTTTACTTTTCTTAATCTTCATTTTTGATATCTTCTCGTGCAAGCAACTCCTTTTCAAACCACTAATTTAATACTTATTTTGTTTTTCCGGTTTTACCTGTGATTACCACAATAGCAAATGAGATTGAACTTACAGATTTTATTTCAAAAATTAATGGTTAGCAGTTGTTGGTAAGCTAATGGTTTTCCTACCATTTAAACTGACACCTATTAAGAAGTTATGTGTAATTAATAAAAATTATACTTAGTGATAAAAACATTAGTTACATCATTGATTTGGATAGCTCCTTGGACAATCGTATTTTCAAATTCATATCAAGGTGCTAGATAAAGCTGAGAATGTTTCTCTTTCTCTGTTAGTAACTGAGCTTGGCTGTGAGAAATTAGTTTGAATATTGGGTAGTATAAAAGGTATTGTATGGTAATATAGAAACGACTTAGGTGAAAGGAGCATTGGGGTTAGAAAAAAAATGGTTTAGATGCCATTGTTGATGAAACATGGATGAATGGAATAATCAAGAATTTTTATAATCCTTAATACTGATTTTTATAAGTTGCTTATTTTTGTGAGTTATGACACATCAGTTAAGCTGAACAACTTTGAATTGATAAAAAATAATGAGAAATCACAATGGCAATATTTTTATTACTTGGATAGTTGGAATAATCAAAAACAATAATTTCAATTAGTTGATTATTTTCCTGACATTAATTTAATGTAATTTTGACTAGTTGATTATTTCATGTAGCAACTAATCAGTGTAATTGATGCTCGTAGGTAATTGAATATATTGATCAATCAAGGTAATTACCTAGCTGTACATGACATGCACGTGGTGTTTTAAGTTTTCTAGATACTTGGGGAAAAATTAATATTGTATGTAACACCAAAGAGTTGTTGTTGGTGAGTTAATCAGACAGTGAGCCAGTTAATCAGGGAGTTAGTTAGTTAGGTAGTTAGTCTGTTAGTAAATGAGTTCAGTGCTTACATTTATTTTATTTTGTGCCATAAACACAAAAGAAAATGTAACAAGTAAGTGATTGTTGAGCTTCATTTGTGAGTTAGGCCTATTAACCATGTAGCCTGTTAAATGCTATCAAAGAAGTAAATAACTCATTACAAATAAGTAAACTGGACTTTTCATTATTTCATTTTATTTATATTTAGAAAGTTACATGTTTGGATTGGCGAGGAGATAGAGATGATATTGCCTTCATTGGTGGAGACAAAGGTTTCTTAGCAGCATGGGATCTTCACCATGAGACAATAATTCGCTACCAGTCAGCATCCAGCACATTGATCTTTTGTCTAACTTCTTGTATTTCCAAGCCTGAGCTTCTAGCTGTTGGGTAATGATGCACATACAAATGCAAAACTTTGCACTTATTGTAATTAAGTTCAGATTACTTTAAAAGTATAATAAATAAGCAGTTCTATTGAGCTAGAATTTAGTTTCAATTAAGGTAGTTAATTGTCCAGAATTGCTATGGACAAGCGTTACTCCAGTATTATATGTGAATTTAAACTGTAATGAAATCTCAAAAAATGTTGACATGGATTTGTTTGATATATATATTTATCAGGGTACTGATTTCTTTTGCTGAATTAGACAGCAAAATTAAAACTTTTGACTAGAACTTAATTTAGTTGGTATCAATTATAAGCACAGCTAATGGCACTGTTTCCTTCTAATGGTTTCCATTTTTATTGTTGGGCAAATCTGAAATGCAGTTGAGTAAACTTGTCAGACTAGGGCTCATCATTAACTTTGAAAATCACCTGTCATGTAGGATAAGCAAGGGTAAATTTTTACTTGTCCAAAGAAAAAACATACCTGCCAAAAGTGTAACTACTTCCTTTCTGAACAAAATGCCTCAATATGGGTAATATAGTTTAATCTTTATTGTTGTTATTATTATTATTATAAGTTGATTTTTATTAAAGAATTTCATATATAATTTGGAAAGTACATTGTGCAAGGTGTGTCTTGAGTTTTGACAGGTGTCTGGGGTATTGAAAAGACTATGCTTGGATTTAATTGTATTCTAGGCCAGGTTAAGTACTAGTCAGATGGATGTTTAATTGAATCAGTGCCGAGTGCCTAATCAAAGAATGTAAGCAACTTCTTTGTCAAGTAGACAATAGCAAGGCACAAGTATTATGAAAAAATTAACTTTAAATTACAGTTCAAAAAGCCTTGATTTTATTAAAATTTTTGTTTAATTTTTGAGGATTTTCTTGTTATTTTTTTATCCATTTTTTTCTTTTATATTTACGTTCATAAAATACATTATATTCTTTTAATATTCATAAAATATCTCAAATGACCATACACCAATAAAAATACTAATATCTCAACTTATCTATACACTGAACTTTATAAAGGTTTATTAACAGTATATTTTAACATTCTTGAATACAATACAAGAATATGAGATATAGGGATTTTCTTCATTTTATTTTATTTTTATCTGTTGATTTAGCTTCATTTCATTATTTCCACTGCTTTTCATTTTAATATTTTATTTTTGGGTTAATCCTTGTTTACAAGAAACACAGAGTTCTAACAATTCACATTTGATTCATTTAATTTAGGAAATGGGGTGAACTTAAGGGGAGTTGGGTAAAGTTCCAAGGAGGGATCCTGCTGTATATATGTTACTGGGTATGTGCTGCTGTAGAGGGTAGCTTAAACCTTTTTTTCTTCTCATTTTTGATATAAACAACAGTATATTATTTGAAATAACTGAAAAACTATTATTCAATGACTAACTTAATAAGTAATAAATTAGAACATAAACAATAAGTCTGTGTAATCAAATAAGACATGAAAGCAGAAATCTCCTCACTTACCTGAATTTAATTGGCTTGGGCAAATTTACATTATGCTGCCTGTTTTATATAATGCAGCTGTGGCTTGAAAAATCCAAGTTAAGCTTCCAACAGGCATTGTGGCAAACAAAAATAGCAGCACCCATATCGAAACATGATCACTGAAGGTGATTTGACTTTTTGGTTGGGCAAACATGTTTGGAAAATTTTACCTGTCTTAGACAGGTAGACATTCAATGATATTGAGCACTACATTTTCTCTTTGCAATACAAATTTAATGCTAATTGGCTAAGAAAAGGAGGAGCTGTGACAGAAATACCTTGCACATATGGTAACTAATGAACCTAGCATCACTTCTGTATCAGAGATGTGATTGTCAGTTTTAGATTATTACCTGGTTAGAAAAAGTATTACACAATTCTAAATGCAACAGATACATTATAATATTTTGCATATGAAGTCTGTTTTTTTTAGAATGTTCTTTTATTATTGTGCTAAAACCAGAATTGATAATGACACATCTGTTGTAGGCCCTGTTTAAGTACATACTCTAAGCAACAAAGAATGATTTAGGCTTTTTTAGAATGAGTTATTATTGTACAACATTTTGTGTTCATCTTTTGAATACCTAAGTGACTGAGGAGTTAGGAAGTTAGTATGGTAAACAGTTTTAAATATTAAATATAAAAGTTTCAACAAGCAAATTATATAAACTTTTAAAAAACATAAACCATTTTATGAAAACATTCTCCCATTACTCATGTTTAAATTGTTCATGAATACAGTTTAATGTAATTACCTAACTTCAAACTTTTCTTTGGGAATAAAGATGAATCTGGATACATGTATTTAGTTATGATGCAGTCACATGGACTTGTGAGTTAATTAAAAGTTAAACTAACTATTAATTTAATATTTCCAATGTGCTATGCCAAAAGAATTGTCCTAAATGTATTATTTTGTTTCAGTGTTAATTCAGCCATATTTGTATAGCTATGCCTAAAGAATTGTTCGAAATGTATCATTTTGTTTCAAATGTACTAGTGCAGAAACATGGAAAAAATTTTTAAAATAAGAGCACTTGAAACAGACAATGATTATTTGAGTATTATAAAAGAGGTCAGATTTCAGATCTGCAAATGCCTGTCTTTCTTTTTTTTTGGTAGCTGACCAAACAGTGGGCAAGTGTTTGGGAATGAAGAGTTACTAATGTTGCTTCTAGTTTTACAGGGAATGATAAGGGGTTGCTCTGGAAGTTACAGGCAGTTAGTTTGAGTTCTGTAGTAGGAAAAATTCTAGAATCTGATAAAAGAAGTTTGTAAAATAATTTAGTAAAATTAATGAAAGAAAAACAACATAAATTCACCATAAGAAAATACACGTCGGTGAAGGTTAGGAAATGACTAGTTGATTGGATTGGAAAGTGGCTGGGTGAGAAAAAGCAAAAAGTTATTAATGGAGTCCAGTCAAATTGGACCTTTGTTAATAGTGTTGTACTTTTTCTTACATACATTAATGATGTTGGTAGAGGCATAATTAGTAAAGTTTGCTGATGACATTAAACTCTTGGGTATTTCTAGCTGTATTAAGGATGTTGAAGTATTGTGAAAAATATCTCTTTTCCTATCCACTCTAGTATGTTCAGTTAAAACTGAATTACTCTTTGAGCACTAGGATAGGTCTGCTTAATGACAGAAGAGGTGTTGATGCAAAATAATGCAAAAATTCTAAAAAACTGAGTCATGATATTGAAAAAAATAATGAGACTTGACACAAAGTGGAATACGAAATAAACAATCTTTCTTACAAAAAATGTAGAATATAAACACAATGTGTGTACTTGCTTATGTGGTCTGATAGAGTGTCCCTTTTACTGGACTCATTCCTTAAGCTGCTTGTTCCTAAAGATCATGTTCCAGGTTGACTAAATCCAACATTCCTTAGTTCACAAGAAATATCACATTTACCCATGTGAGTGATCATTCTCAGTTTAACATAGATGAGGCAAAACATATAGTATTGCAGCAGTTTCATCCCCATGGCAGAAAGGTATTATCTACTACAGAACAACAAAGGAACAAAGGCAGTTGGAATGAAACCAACTTAAGGGTTTTCTCAACCTTGTGCTATGTGATAGCTGCACATGTACAGAGTAAATGATAAGTTCAAATCAAATACTTTAATATTATAAGAACATAGAGACACGGGCATATATTCACATACCACAGTATTACAGAAATGACTTGGATCACCTAGGAGCTTGAACAAATAGAAAATGTTATTTATTTATAGAACTGCAAAGTAATACATTTGTGTTATTATAATTTGACATGTTTTTGACATAGGTGAGAACTCACTCAGTAGCAAAAATGTTTCTAGTAGCAATGCTAATAGAAGTTTAGTATGTATTTGTAGATATGCTGATTACAAGTCAAAGAGGTAATTATCTTTTTTCACACATAAATCACTAGTTAGGCCTTTCTTAAAATACTGTGTACAGTCTTTTCTAAGATAGGATATGGAATTATTGTAAATGGTTCATTGGAAAGCTGCTAGGATGATTCAAAGGATAGAAAGTTTATCTTATGAAGATAAGATCTCTGAAATTATTTTTCTTTTGAAAAGAAGAATAAGAAGTAATCTTTTAGAATTTGTAGTTCTCTTTTAATTATCTGGAGTATAAAGGTAATTTTTTCCAACTTTATTATCAAGAAGTGATCTTATTGAAACTTACAAGATTATTTGGGGTGTTGACAGGTTAAAGTTCTCTAGTTTCTTTATGTAGCAAAGTGAAGACAATAAGATGGGAGTACCCAAGTTTAAGATTTGGAGAAGATGGGCTAGGTTGCATTTTACCTATTTTTTTTTTCTAACAGAGTCATTAGCTTATGGAAGGAATGGATGTCCGGACTTAACAAGAGTTTAAGAGGGGGAAATTTATGGTTTTTCTGGAATATAAAAGGTGGGGTAAATGTGCAGGTACAATCTTGAAGGACCAAATGGTCCCTTGACGTCCATTATGAATATTTCAAGTGATTTATTTTTTGTTCAGGTTCAAAGGAGGTTTAGTGGTTATTCATGATGTCAGCAAAGAGGGCAAAGTGATTTTTATACTTCGAAGTCATGGGGAAGATGTGATGTCACTTTCATGGTCAAGATATACAGAGGTGAGTAAAACTCCATCAAAACACATGATAAAATAATGAGAAACAGATACTGTAATAATTACATTAAACCCATTAAATAAATGTATTATTGTAATTTTACATCTTTCACAACACTGATTTTCAAGAATTGAGGAAAGTATCAAACTATTTTATTTCTAACATTAAAATGTCATATGTAGTGTGCTTAAAACTCTTAACTACCAGATTGTGCTCAAGAATTGGAGATCAAAGTGTGCACTTTCTAAAATTAAGCTGTTATGTTGGAGTAGTTGAAACACTGAACAGTGTTTTATATTGAAGAACTAAAGAGTTGCATATATGCATCTCCTATGTAATGCAACTTCTGGTATAAATTTGAAGAAGTTATGCAACAAATATGTAAAATATTTATTTGAGAAAGTTATAAGCTTGAATACGTTATGTTACTTACAAATTTGAACAGGTTGATGTAATATTAATTGTAAATTTGGACAATGCATGATAAGTCCAATATGAAATTTGTGGAACAATATGTTTTTGCCATTTTGTTGATAGTCTTGGTCAAGTATATTTTAAGTACTTTTTTTGGAGCCAAGGCAGCATTGTTATACTTGAAAGACTGTGTTTATATACATACAGGATGCTAGTTGTTTGCATTTTCATTTTGGAGTCAAGGCACCTTTGGAAGACTGTGTATTTACATACAGACTGGATGGTAGTTGTTTTTTTTCAAAGGCAAGGAATTCTTGCCATACTCTGGAGAGTGCATGTATTTATATATGGAGACTGGAGGGCAGTCTCCGTATTGTTTTTAAAGCTCAGACATACTTTAGAGACTATGTGTATTTGTGTACAGACTAGATACCAGTCCTTTGTTTTGTTTTTAACAATGTTACTTTAACCCTATGTGTATGGGTAGGGTCAACGTGCACATTCCATAACCTTTGCAGAGTGTTATTTTACATGGTATTATGTATTTGATATCGGAGTTATCAACTATTCATTTTATCCTATATTTATCCTATATTCAGTGTCTGTTTGTGGTAGAGGAGGATAAATACCAGATATAATATACAGGGATACTGAAAAAGCTGAAGATATGCATTTTGCAGATTCTAGTGGCCATGCAAATAAAATATGCAAACTGTACAATAAACAAAAGTTTTCTTATCACTTAAACATCACCTTTCACTCCAAGTTGTCAGAGTCTAAATTAGATTGGCATCATCAAGTTCATAGGCATATCTTGAATACAGATACTTTTGTAACACCTATAATTTTGCTAAAAGCTTTTCACATTTCATATAAATACACAGGTTAACTTCTCTGGCATTCTAATATTTGTGAATTTTTTGCACTATAGGGGTCACTTTTTTGTGCAAAATTTTCATTTCACTTATTATGAAATTAAATTTACCAGTCATGTATATATATGTATATATATATATATATATATATTAGCACAACAAGTAGCAAACATTTATATTTTTCTTGGATGCACTGCAGGGTTGGATGCAGAGTAGTCCAGGGGGTCTGGAACCCCTTTTTATGAGAACTTTTTCTGAAAAAATTTGGAAATGTTAGGGAAAAGTGAAAAAATTGACTTAGAAAAACCCACCTACACCCCCTTTTCAGCCAGAACCACCACTTCTTTTCCAAAAATCTTGTATTTGTACCTGCACTGTATGTAAAAAATAAAATGGACTCACATAATCTGCAGTAATCAGCAATTCGTTGGTATGATAGTCTAAAAGCAGGAAAATAATTTAGTATAAATTCATGCAAAATAAAAAATTAAAACCTGGATATATATTTACCTGTAATCTGGCTTCAGTGATTAGAATGTAGATTTGGTGTGGTAGTCCTTGAACAAGGCCACACCACTCAGTCCAATGTTGGAAGAAGGACAGCAGAGGTCTATGCATGTGTACTGGCTCTCCCTGTGTGTGTGGTGTTTAATGATGCCAAATGGTGGTAGATGGCAATACCACAGTTAGAGGAAAAATTTGGGGTAAATGCTGCAAAATCAAAAAGTAAAGTGAGACATTCTCAGAGTGAATGATTTTTGCTCAGCGTGCTCACCACTGTCTCAGGGTAACCTCTAAGGAGGTTTAAATTCAGAAATATAGCCCATGTTCCATCTCCAGTATAGGGTGAGTTCATTGGGATGACCTTCTTCTCATTCAATGAATATTTTAAAATATATATAGAGGTTTTGATCCATGTAAAGGTATTTCAGGTTTTGTTTAATCTAAACTTGCATATGAATTTTCTGATCTAATCCTTCAAAGTATGTATATTCATGACTGAAATGCAAGTAAATTAACAAGTTTGAAATTTGTTAATTTGGAAAATTGCATGACTTAATTATTAAAGGCATGCATATTTGTGATATAAAACCAACAGACGAGGATGAGTTTATTTTGTGAATGTGCAGATTCAATATTTCTTTGTAGGTTTGATTAAATATTTCGACAGTAAATAATGTTTTATTGATATATAGATGTGTATTGACAGGGTGTGTGGAATTTTTGAATAAAACTTCTTGCTCAAGGGACAAACTACTAGAAAAATCTACTTTTCTTTGTTAAAACATTTATTTGCCCCCTTTCCTGTCCTACAAAACACATTAAAATAGAATATAACTTTGAGAAACATTTAATCACCTGGACAACAAAGAGCTGTTACCTCAAGACACTGCAGTGAAGATTTTTGTGCAAACCACAAACTTTAAACAAAACTTCAACCCCTACATTTACTAATGTGTATTGTGCCAGCCTATGGTGTAATAATCATTATACTATAGCTTTTCATCCGTGCACTATCATTTGAACAAAGTGCATCCTTTTCTTCGCATTAATTTGTTCAGATGTGTTTTTTCCTTAGGGATGAATGGCATTTTTGTGCTTATTATTTTAAACTTTCGTTTACCATTCATAGTGTTGTTTTTCCTTCATTTACTTGACTATGAAAAAGAAGATACCAAATTTTAAACATTTTAGTTACAGCTTTGATTCAAATTACCTTCAATTTTCTTTCTTTCTTTTAATAAAATTTGTATTCTTGGGACACAATCCATTGTCTGTAATAAGGTTTCCAAAACAGTACTACCTCTTCTCACCCAAAGCTATCTCAACTTTGGTTTACCTACTTTGAATTGCTAAAAAATGTTTCTCTAGTAGTGAACAAGTCTACTGTACTCCTTTATTTTTGCACCATTTCAGAACATGTGCATATCATGAGACTACTCTCCAGCAATCGTACTACACCACCTAGGAAGCTTCTAATACGATTCTCGCAAAATCCTCACTTTCTCGATTGGCATTACAGTGTATAAATGTGTGTTTACTTCACTCCATGTGCTTGCTTTTTTCTTGTGATTGCATTTCAGTCCTTTCAGTCAAAAGTATTTGCTTTCGAATTTTAGTTTTGCTTTTTGAGGAATCTTCCATAATTTGAATTTTAATTTGAATATTAATTCAAATTTTATGGTGACAGATGACAATATCTACCGAGGAAATTCAAGCCTTAATTCACAGGGAGTTGGACACTTTTGCTCGGCAGTCAGTTCGTTCACCCTTTCCCCCCGAACAAGCTTCTGAGGAAGAAATTATTCAGGGTGAAGATAATTTCGACCATTTTTCCGGCCCCAGCCTTTTTTGGTCAGTCACATAATGCTGACAGTCAGGAGAGTTTGTCGATCTTACCATTCCTACACCTTTTTTATTAGGTATGTCAAATTTTCAATGTTTCACCCTTAGTCTTTGATTCCTCTCTTACCTTGTTTTATGAAAAACCTTGTTCTGATTGTTATGCTTAACTTTTTGCTGATCAATTGCTGTTGGGTGCGGGTATGCCCTGTACCTTCCAGTTGTTGGACCAATATTCCTTGGCTTACCAGCAGGCCTCGAATCCCCTTTTTGGATTCCCAATGTCTGGATTCTCTCCTTCTCTTGAGGGGCTCATATCCCAGGGGCTTTGAACCACTTTAATCAATCTCAGTTTTCTAAGATTCGTCCTACTCTGACCACCCTTTTGTGTATTATTTCATCATTACAGTTGTTGTCTCAAGCCTTTCGCCAGTCACCTGATCAATTTTCTGATGAACTCAGGACCTTCCTGTGGTCTACTCTCGCCCATTTATCTGCATTTATCCTGTCTCTCAACACCTGGTTATTATGTTGTTGGGATTTGCTGGGAAGAAACACATTACTAGAGGGGGTGTGTCTCCCTCTGTCTTCTTGGAGGGATCTTTTTAGGCCCCGTTTCAGCATGAAATGGTTTTTGGGGATTGTCCTGAGTCTTTGGAGTCTAGGGTTGATGTGGCAAGGCTACGTTCGTCTTTGTCCTCCCTGGCATCTCATTTGTCTCCTCCTGCTGTTCCCACCCTAGCTTCACAATGTTCAAGTTCTCCTGTTCCCCTCTACCTCTCTCTATCCCTTACCCTCGTTTTTCCCATTCACCTACCTTTAGGGGTCAGCAGTATAGATGATAGGGTGTATTTTCCAGGGCAGATGGGGACCAGGCTGCAACATTGTCCAGTCATCTCAACGAGTTGGTTGGGGACCTCCTATAGAAAGGAGTTATTGAACAGGTCGTGCTCACTCATCTGGGATTTTACTCCTGTCTATTTGTTGTCCCCATATTGATGTGAGATTGGAGACCCATTGTAGATCTGTCCTGGCTATATATCTTTCTGAAGATACCTCAGTTCACCATGAAGTTCTACCTCTTCCTTCAGTGGTTTTTTTCCCCCAGGATTTTGAATGACCAAGTTCGATGTGATAGATACCTATATTCATATTCCTACAGCTCCAGAGTCACGTTGTTTTCTTCAGTTCATCCATGAGGGCTGTGTCTTTCAATTCTGTGCACTGCCATTCGGTCTGGCTCCTTATGTGTTCTGTTGAGTGGTTCACTTGTTTGCTTGTCATCTTCACTTGCAGGGTCCTCTGACTCATCATTACATGTACAACTGGCTTCTGCTTGCCTCTTGCCAGGCCCAATCAGTCTCTCACTCC